TAGATAGATTAGATAGATTAGATAGATTAGATAGATTAGATAGAATAGATAGATTAGATAGATTAGATTAGATTAGATTTGATTAGATAAGATAAGATAAATAGATAGATAGATAGATAGATTAGATCGATAGATTAGATTAGATCGATAGATTAGATTATTTCGATAGATTAGATTAGATAGATTAGATTAGATTAGATTAGATTAGCTTAGCTTAGATTAGATTAGATAGATCGATAGATAGATAGATTAGATAGATAGATTAGACATATAGATAGATAGATGGATGGATGGATGGGTGGATAGATAGATAGATAGATGGATGGATAGATAGATAGATAGATAGATAGATAAATAGATAGATAGATAGAATGATAGAATTGATAGAATAGATAGAATATATAGAATAGATAGAACATATAGAATAGATAGAAACGATAGATACGATAGATCAGATAGATAAGAGAGATCAGATAGATAAAATAAGATAAGATAAGCTAAGCTAAGATAAGATACGATAAGAAAGAAAGAAAGAAAGATAGATAGAAAGGTAAAAATATAGATAGATAGATAGATAGATAGATAGAAAGATAGATAGATGGATAGATAGACAGATACGATAGATAGATAGATAGATAGATAGATAGATCGATAGATAGATAGATAGATAGATACGATAGATACAATAGATACGATAGATAGATACGATAGATACGATAGATAGATACGATAGATAGATACGATAGATAGATACGATAGATAGATGCGATAGATAGATACGATAGTTAGATACGATAGATAGATACGATAGATAGATACGATAGATAGATACGATAGACAGATAGGATAGATAGATAGATAGATAGATAGCTAGCTAGCTAGCTAGCTAGGTAGGTAGGTAGGTAGGTAGATAGATAGATAGATAGATAGATTATATAGATAGATAGACAGATCGACAGACTAGATATAGATAGGATAGATAGGATACGGATACATAGGATAGATAGGATAGATAGGATAGATATAGATAGGATAGATATAGATAGGATAGATAGGATAGATAGGATAGATAGGATCGATAGGATAAATAGGATAGATAGATAGGATAGATAGGAAAGATAGATAGGATAGATAGGATAGATAGGATAGATAGGATAGATAGGATAGATAGGATAGATAGGATAGATAGGATAGATAGGATAGATAGGATAGATGGGATAGGTGGGATAGATGGATAGATGGATAGCTGGATAGATGGATAGATGGATAGATGGATAGATGGATAGATGGATAGATGGATAGATGGATAGATGGATAGATGGATAGATGGATAGATAGATAGATAGATAGATAGATGGATGGATAGATGGGATAGATGGGATAGATAGGATAGATAGGAGAGATGGGATAGATGGGATAGATGGATAGATGGATAGCTGGATAGATGGATAGATGGATAGATGGATAGATAGATGGATAGATGGATGGATAGATGGATAGATGGATAGATGGATAGATGGATAGATGGATAGATGGATAGATGGGATAGATCGGATAGATAGGATAGATGGGATAGATGGGATAGATGGATAGATTGATAGATAGGATAGATAGGATAGGATAGGAATGATCAGATGCTTCCGAGCAAATACAGGGAGACTGGAACAACATGGGACAACTGTTTTGTATATCTTGTTGTTGTGCCAGGTAACCCAGAAGCTGAAGGGAATGTAAGATTCCATTAGCGACCTCAATACGACCGTGATCGCAGGTGGAGCAAAGCACAGGTTTTTGCGACAGAAGTTGGATCGAAGATGATGGAAATTCACCCAGGACATTCACCCCGAGGCTGGAGATTGTTGATGATTTTTGCACGAGAAATGTGCTGGAAACTATAAACCATCACCACATATACCATAAACGGATGGTATAAAGATGCATAGAGAACCATCTCGAATTAGAGGTTTATTGTTACGTTTACCACAAGACAAATCTGTGGTTCTTGACTTTTCACGAAAGTGAAGACTTTTGCAAACTTGAAATACTCCCTACTGGGCTTGTACCACCATGCCAGAAGCTAGCCACTACCTGAAGCTCTGAAGTTTCAGGACAGCGGTTGAGGGGCAGGGATTTGTCGGTTACACCTAAGGGGACCTAGGCTTTTGCACAGGTCACCCAGGTGCCATTCAGAAGCACTTTTGCACCTCAGACTGTAGCACCTGTTTGCAAGAGCGAAATCCAACGAACATAGTTTCCATGGTGAGTTTCAAATCAATCCATCCACCTTTGTGACGCTTTGGAGGCTGGGCATTTGCTCAAAAGGCTGTTGGTTGATGTGAAGGTCCGCTGGATTGCGACTGTTTGCACTCATGGATTTGCGCATTTCCACATTTGCACAAGTTGTTATATTGTTGACGAGAATCCGTGAAACTTGAGAAGGTCCGAACATCCACGGAGAATACTTGTGTGTCGAACTCTTGCAACTTGACAATTCGGCATAGCTTCATATTGCTTCCTGTTTTTTTCGAACTGAAGCGCCCAATTCTTTGAAAAGCGGCCGATTCTCTCAAAAACCTCCTTTCCACCCGTTGCAATGTGCTGCGGGAAGCGACTTCGTT